CAACACAGAAGCCCTTCAGTTGTAAACTGTATTCTTCTGAGGCAGTGTTGGGTTTCACTGCAATGCCTTACTCTACAAGAGGTGTTTGTCTGGAAGACACTGTGTGTTTCTCTCTCCCTCTCCTCTCTTTCTCCCTCTTCTCTCTCCCTCTCCTCTCTTCCTTCCACTTCTCTCCCTTTCCTCTCTTCCTCCCTCTTCTCTCTCCCTCTCCCTTCTATTCTTCTCTCTTCTCTCTCCCTCTCTTCTCTTCCTCCCTCTCCTCTTCTCTCCCCTTCTCTTCTTTCTCCTCTCTCTTCTCTCTCCCTCTCTTCTCTTCCTTCCTCTCCTCTTCTCTCTCCTCTCCTCTCCTTTCTTCTCCTCTCCTCTCTTCTCCTCTTCCTCTCTCCCCACTCCCTCTTTCCAACCAGCAACAGTGTTCATGATATGTGGATCCATGTTCAGATTAATTTCAGATTAACTAGGAGCCACTTTACAAATGTGGCTAAGAAGGGTCCAGCCTCCTGAGCTGGCTCTGTCTTGCTAATCCAGCCCTTTATTTTTTTTTTTAAGCACAAACACCAAAATGCCTTTTGACAAATGAGACGTAAAATAAATGAGTTTTTGCACATAAATTTTTTAGTGCAAATATGCTTTTAGCCATGCTGGGTTCAGAAAGGGTTTTCTTTTCTTTCTTTTTTGCCTGGTTCTCTAGTAGCTAAAGATGAAAATTTGAGCAATTGTCCCTTGTCTCCTTCCTGTCATTACCAAAGTAGATCATGTAACAAAATAGAGACCTTCACCTGAAGTCCTTCTAGGAGCAAATGCTTAAATGGAGACCATGTGGAGAAGTCGTCTGGGATCACTCCTGAAGTCACCAATGTCCACTTCACCCGGGCCTGGGAGGAGAGCTGATGGTCCTCCAGATCCTCCGTCTGTCCTTCCCCACTCTGCACTGAGTCATGGGGCTGATCTCTATAGACCGCTTCATCATCCAGGAGGAGGCCCGGATGGAAGAATGGAGGTCTTGAGTGGAGTGAAATCCTTGCTGGGTCACTGTGGGTGGCTGTTCCTCCAACCCTGTCAAGCACCTCTGTCCACCCAGCTCTCCTCACTGACTCCTGCCAAGTGTGACCTTGCATCTTAGCTCAGGGGAGTTAAGGTCACCACTGCTGCCAGCCCTGGGGACCTGCAGCACCCTCTGCTGGCTGCCCTAACCCTGCTCATACCTTTATAAACGCTCTTTATCAACACTCCTTGGGGACTCTGTGCCACCTGCTTCTGACAGCATTCTGGCTCATGGATGCTACCTGGTCATCAAGAGGCAGCAGTCCTTTCTGGAGCTCTTATCACCAAGGCGCTGGGAATTGTGAACTGGGGAGGCCGGGTCCAAGGTCACTTTCCCTGTGGTCTTTGCCATCTCCTGCTGCTGGAGGCCCTGGGTCAGGAGCTCACAAGGAGAGCTGAGAGCACAGTCCATATTAACGCTGTCCACCCCAAAACACCCATCCACAGCCCATGGCCTGCGTGACCTTGGGTTGCCAGGGCAAGAGGGCCACAATACTGGGCATGCTTTTGTCCTTGGGATAAAGGCTGCTTAGAGGTCATGGGACCCACTTCTGCATGCTCGGGGTGGGACACAGATGTCCACAGTCAAGAGACTCCTACTAGTTCTACTTTGAGAGCAGGGGGCACAGGTTTTCTGGATTTCCAGCTGAAGACATGCCTTCCAGGTCCTCCAAAGGGGCGCTGGAGAGAAACTTGGGGCTCCTTCTGAGCTGTGGCTACCTGGTTGTTGGCCTGCTCAGGCCCTGGCAAGGGTCATAGGGTGAGAGGCATTAGGAGTGATCATGCCTTATCCCAAGGTGCTGCCCCGTCAGCCCTGTGGGAGCCCAACAGGCTGTGCTTTGTGGATGACAGTGACCACCCCACTTAGGAATGGCAGACAGGAGTCCCCAGTCCCCAGCCCTAAGGCTGCCCTGACCTACAAGGCTCTGTGGCTGGCAGGCGCTCAGGGCCCCGCCTGCAAGGATGGCTCCCGGCACTGTGCCACCAGAACTGAGCTGACATGAGAATCCCAAATCTTATAGGAGGAAGGGCACCACCTTCTAGGGATGGGTCCTCTGCTGTGGGGACTGGATGCCTGGAGCAATCCACACTGTCATTCAGCCCCTGTGGCCAGCACAGAGACAGGCCACAGGCCAGGTGAAGAGGGAGAGTCAAGTAGGAAGGAACTCAGAACTCAGGACCTTTTGACCTGGCTACCATTTTGTGGGCATGACCAAGTTCACTCACAGATCTCTTTCAGGAGGCTCTTGCTTGACCAAACAAGTCTTTACTCAGCTACTTGGCTCTTAAGGCCCTCTCCTACAGCATGCCTTGTCTCTACCATCCCCCTCTCCAGCTAGAACAGTAATAGTCACGGCGACCACAATGAGCACATATGTACAAATCCCATATCCAGCTTTCTCCCAGGTCAGGGATTATCCTGTCTAATTTTACTGATGGCTCAGAGATGTTACACCACTTCACGAAAGTCACACAGCCAATAAGTGTTGGAGGCACAGCTCACATCTCAGCTTCTGCCTTCCAAACCCTATGCTTTGCTACTGTACTTGTAGTTTGGGGACCATCCCAAGGGTATGTAGGAGCCTGTGACATACATGCTCATGTGCTGGTCCTCAGAGGATAGGGTGAAAAGGTCTTTCTTTCCACCCATCAGCATCAATTAATTAATCACTTTATAAGTCAATAAACACTTTTCCAGCACACCTACTGTGTGCTACATAGAGACATCTAACTGTCCCCCAAAGATTCATGTTCTCCCCCCATTGTGGACAGATAAATTGGAAAATAGATGCCAAGCCAAAGATTAACCTTTCCAAAGAGCCTTGCACCGATGTTGGACCATGTGGTGCTCAGCAGATGAGGGCAGAAGTAATAATTACCACATCTGTGTCGGGTCCTTAAAAACTCACCTTGCCATTCTTTAAAATTTTGGAGGGCAGTACTGGGACTTGAACTCAGGTCCTCACCCTTGCTAGGCCGGTGGTCTACCATTTGAGCCATGTCTTCCTCTAGTCCTTTTTGCTTTAGGGTCTTCCACTTTTTGCTAGAGCCAGCCTCAGACCAAGATTCTCCTACCTATGTCTCCTGTGTAGCTGGGATTACAGGTGTGCACCACCAAACCAAGTTGGGCTGGCCTTGAACCTTGATCTTGGTCTCTCAAGTAGCTGGGATTATAGGCATGAGCCATTATTCCTCATCTTCACCGTGCTATTCTTGATACCAGCTTGTCTCTGAGAGAAGTAAGCGCTACCAAATGGTTCAATTTCCCAAGAGTGATGAATACTAAGGGCCATCCTAAATGCATAGAAAAGAAGGTGATTCATTGTGTGTAATTCATGCCTTAGTACAGTGAGGTTTCATTATCCAGAGAGCTAGGTGGAGAAGGGCAGTTCCCATCTCTTCCCAAGGACTCTACAAGCCACTTGCTGAAGCTATTAGAGTCTCCGTCAGCCTAGGTCCCAGAATGGAACAGAGCAACATGCTCTCCGCCCCAACACCCAGGCAGGATTTCATGTGAATGAGAAACAATAAATTTGAAATGCGTCAAGTCATTGACATTTGGGGTTTTTCAGCACGTAGTGTTATCTTCAATTAGGACAGAGTGTGGAAAGTTCCAAGCCCTCTTGGAAGCTAGGTGGTGTTTGGGAGAAGCCCTCTTCAGGTTCTAGCTGGCCCACTTTCTCTATGGCCTGGAGGAAAGTCTTATGGGCGCCCAGGTGGGCCTCCAGATCTACCCATCAGCCAGAGATAGAGGAAGCTTCCAAAGTAAGGAACAGAACAGCAGCTCAAACTGTTCAAGGAACTGGGTGCCAGTGGCTCATGCCTATAATCTTGGCTACTGGGAAGGTTAAGACTTGGGGAATCATCATCTGTGCAAAAATTTTCCAAGACCCCATCTCGACCAATAGCTGGGTGTGGTTGTGCACATCTGTCATCCCAGCGATGTCAGGAAGCATAAAATAGAAAGATCATGGTCTACGCTTGCCTGGGCAAAAAAGAGAGACCTTATCTCCAAAATAACCAGAGCAAAAAGGGCTGGAGGTGTGACTCAAGCCCCGAGTTCAAATCCAAATATCAACCCCCCAAAATCATGAATAACAACTACCATCAAAAAGCTTAAGGGGGTGGATCAGACCGTGATCAGAGGCCTGTCCCCTCATCCTCAGCACCATAGACCAGGAGCTGCAAACTTCGCTGGAGGCAAGTGGGGAGGCCTTGGGAGGAAAGACACATGGGCAGCAGGCCTTTCTGCCTATGGTATCCCACCCCTGTGTTACACAGTACCTTCCAGAACTGCCTGATTGGGCAGCCAGCTCATTTCCCTGGCCGTTTGCTGTCAGATGCCCCATATCCCCAAGTCCTCCCCTCCCCAGCCTCTCAGCTCCTTAGGAGAAAACCAGGACTTAACTCCTGGCTCCACTACCCTGCACTTAGCCAAAGAGGGCAGAGGCTACACAGCCAGGCCTGCACCAGCAGGGGAGACAACCCACTCTCACTTGGGTGCTTGAACCCCATCTGGGGAAAGCCCCTCTACAATCTTAGAGCTCCAGGAGGGAGCACAGCCTTCAGGATCTACTTCTTCAAACCCAAGCCTCAGAACCTCCACACTCCAGCCTCAGGGCCGGTCATGAATACACTTGGTCAGGGTTCCAAGAAGCCAACATTAAAGACAGGGAAACTGTCTAGAGAGAGGGAAGAGAGGCTCCCAGCCAAAACGCGCTTAAGGTGTCCACAAGTCCACAACTTCACCAGCACCAAATGCAGACACAAATGATCCAGAGATTCCAAAGACCCCCAAATGCATATGCAAATGACCACCCTCCAACGTTTCCAAACGCATACAAACGACCCCTTTCACTGTCCCCAAATGCACCTGCAAATGACTGGAGTGGGGCAGCAGCTCCGGCCTCCGCCCTCCCCCGCGCTTGCGCCCCCGGCTCTGCGCTAGCCCTTACCCGAGCCGTGCCAGTGGCGCAGGAGGACGGCTTGGCCGGGTGGCGGCGACGCTGATGAAGCAGCTGCAGCAGCCGCGACGGTGGTGGTGGTGGCTGTGTTGGCCACAGAGGCGGCGGCCTCGGGGACTCCGGGTCCGGGGACGGCAGGAGGGCTCCCGGGCGGTGGGTTCTTGTTGCTGCTGCCAGGCTCGGAAGTGGTGCGCCCTGTGGCGCCTGCGGGGTTAGCGTTGACGGCACCGGGGGACCCGTGGCGACGCGGGCCGCTGCTCTGGATGTGGGACACGGCCTCCGCTGCCTGCATGTTGGGCGGCGCGAAGCGGGAGAGCACGCGCAACAGCGCCTGGGCTTTGTGCTCCTGCGTGTCGTCGTCGCTGTAGTCCGACACGCGGCACTCGTACACACCCTCGTCCTGAAGTCGCACGGCCGACAGCCGAAGGCGGTGCGAGATGTCATTGCCCTGGACCCGCACGGTCTGCAAGAGAGCGGGGTTAGATCCAGAGATGGGCAGCTTCCCAACCCGCGCTTCTGGCAGGGACACCCCTGGCCAGTGCACTCCAAAACGTCCCGTACCCCTGATTTGCCCAGCCTCAGGATCCCCCTTTCTTTTGACCCTTCTCCCTGCCGTGTCACTAGGACCACTGCGTGCGGACTCCAGTTCTCCATCGTCTTAATCCAACCCACGCAAGCAGGATGGCTTCTCGTCTTCCTGCAGCTTTCCCTCAATGGCACCCCCATCCCTCCCCGTTCCCCAGAAACCTCAGGCTAAGCCTCAAGTTTTCTAACAGTTCACATCTTTCCCACAGCCAAGTGCTCCAGGTGACCCCATGGGCTCTGGGGCATCGCTCAACCGCCGGCCACTTGCTCCTGGCACCAAGTTCCCTTTTATCTGGAACCCGGGAGCTGGAGTCTTGTCCCAGGGAAAGCCGCTCCAAGTACAGCAACAGACCTGCTCTCCCAACCCCCCTGACCTTCACAGCCCTCGCCCTCCCAAGGAGGCAGGCGACCACTAAGGCTGCTTCCTGACCCCTGGCTTCCTGCTAGGATCCCGCCTTTCTTTCACTAGGTCACGTGACCTCCACTCCCTGCGACTAAGCTCTTCTCCCCAGTCCTGGTGAAGACCTAGGGTGACCTCCTCCTAGCACCCAGGAGCCCACAAAGAGACTCTCGTGTCTTCAGGCCCTGCTCCTTCCACGCTGCAGCTGGGAAAGCTTGGATGCTTCTCTTCCAACCCCCGATACCTGGGTTGCGTGCAGCTTGGGGGACACTGCTCTTTCTGCCCCTTCCCCACCCTCCACCCTCAGCCTACAACGCTGCACTGGGCGGAGGAGAAGCGCAGAGCCGGGGGAGCCCGGCGCGCGTGCTGGGCGGGGCAGACGCGGGTGGGAAGCGGGAGCATCAGTGCTGCCAGGCGAGCAGCTGCGCGCTCACGGCGACGAGAGAAATGACAACCGAGGAATGGCGAGCGGACGGGTGGAGGGGCCTGAGCGCGCGATCCAAAGCAAGGAAAATTACACAGGTGAGCGCTGAGCTGATTTGGGGGTGTCAGGTTTTGGACCCTTGATTTACACAACAATGAACCCGACTCCACTAGGCGACAGATGGCGCCAAGCAGCGGGCAATGGAAGGCTGAGAGCCCGGCCCTACACCGCTGCCACCACGCCACGGAGGCTTTCTAATGGGGAGGGAGCTGCGGGGCGCGAAGCAGCCAGAAGGGGTCTCCCGCGGCCCACGCTGGGCTCCACACTTACGCTGATTTTAGTTGCATCCTTATTTGTTACCTAGAATGCAAAGAGGGAGTGAGAGAGAGACAGAGAGAGACATTAGGTTGGTGGCTTTCAGGCTGGGGAGCTTACATCCGCTTTGCGCAAGGCAGCCGGCTGGGACTTGAAAATGCTTAGGGTGTGGCCGGGGTTGAGGGCAGGAAGGATGGCAGAATGTCCAGCAATTTATCCTGGAAGGAAGTGAGGTCTGGAGCTAGCAGGGTGCGTAGCCAAAGAGTGGCTGCTCTATCCTAAGCCTGCCAGCTGAAGGCGAGATTACCAGGAGTGTGGGAGGGAAGGAAGGGCCTGTCTCCCTCCCTGGAACATCCTCATCCCTGCCCAGTGTCTTCAAACCTTCCATTCAATTTGGAACAGAGAAAAACTGGATATAGACTTTGGTATGTCTGGACAGGATCCAGTGGAAGACATGAACAGTAAGGTTGGGTGACCCAAAGTAGGGAGGTGTTGTAGGTATGTGGGTGATTTAAGTGGGGGTCCTAGCAGGTTTTCCCACAGGGCGGCCATCCCTCTGGTCCTGAGCGCGTTAGAGGTGACCCACTGGTTGCCCAGTACATGGTCTCTACTGGTCCCTGGAAGCAGCTCAGAGGACCTTAATTGGTTTGGGGCTGTGCTCTGGGGACATCAGAGTGGCTGAGGGCAGGGAAAGCCTGGTGGGATCAAGTGATCTTTCTCACCACCCAGCACCCAAAACAAGCTAGGCTGGCAGCTAGCAAGCAAGAGCAGAAGAACTGAATGAGGTGTGGCACTCCAGGGGCTAGGCTAGGCTTGAGTGGAGTTAGGGGAGGTTTCAGGAGAATGGATAGGATTTTCGGATAACAACCACTAATTTTGATAATGGTGTGTAGGTGCGGAGGGAGGATGGGAGCGCCCGGCGCTCATGCACTAACAGCCTTCTTCCCGGGGATAGCCCTTGCCCCAGCTGGTTGAGGGTGGGTGCCTTAGCGGCCTCGGGTTACCTTGCTCCGGGCGCCCGGCACGCTGAGCGCCAGTTCGTGCAGCAGCTCCCGGGGCGGCTCCTTGAGGTACCACCACTGAATCTCCAGGGAATACGAAGTGGCTCCGCTGGCCCGGAACGCGCAGGGCATTTCGATGTCGTCTCCCTCCCTCACTGTCACATCTTTGGGGACTTCGGTGAATGTAGCTGGGAGCGGGAGGGGGGGTAGAGGGAGAGAGAGGCGTGACCAGCTGTAGGGCGGGGGCTTGGGACAACCCGAGGCGGAGGCAGTCGGTCCTCAGCTCGCTCGCTGGCCATGGGTTCCCCACCTCCTCCCCTAGCTACTCTGCAAAGTTAAGTGAGCAACTAGCTGCAAGATGGCAGCAGGGACCGGCCACTGGCCGGTTGCTTCCCTCCGGGTTACAGGAGGGCGGTTCATGCGTCCCTCTTGCGCGGGGCCGCACCCACAGAGAGCCAGACTGGGGCGCACCAACTCTCGCTCCGCACAGGCCTCCTCTCCGCAGCCGGGGAGTCAGGCCGGACTTGGAGTGACTCCCCCAGGGACGCCACTGCCGCGGCGACCCTTGGCTGCTTTCCCTCTTCCTCCCCTTCTCCCTCCGGGCCCGGGCTGTACGCCGGGATTGCTGGAGACCTCGAAGACTTCCCTTTCTCTTCCTCCTTCTTCTCTCGGCGTCCCCAGCAAAGGATCCCCCGAGCCCACCGCGGCAGCGAAGTTCCCGCGCTCACCATCGGCGACCAAGAGCAGCAGGGCGTGCAGCGGCAGCAGCAGCAGCAGAGGCGGCAGGTATCCGAGGGCGCAGAGCCGGCTCCGCTGTTCCATCTCCCGCAGGGGGCGCGGCGGCGGCGGGGGCCCGGGCGCGGAGAGGTGGCGGTGGCAGCAGCGTGGGCTCCGGCTCCAGGCTCCAGCTCGGGCTAGGACGCCTCGGAGCCTGCCATGGTCCCGCACGGCGCCCCCTCCCCTGGCCGCCGGCGGCCGCCAATCAGTCCAGCTCCCTGGCCTGCCTGCCCGGCACCGCTCCGGCGGGGGGCGCAGGAGGCGAGGTCCTGCTGGGAGGCTACTGGCGATCGGTCAGTGCCCCCCCTCTGTCCGGTTGTCCACAGGACGATGGGGGTGGTGGTGGAGGGAGTTCGCGGTTCAGTCTCTGCCCCACGGGCCGGGCAGGAGGAGGGGTCCGGCTGCACCAGGACCCATCCCTGGCCGAGGGAGTGTGCGCTTAGGAGCCGCGAGCTTCTGCCTCCGGGTCTCCTGGTTGGGCTCCCGACTGCCACCTCCTCGGGGCTCTCCCGCCGCCGCCCCCGCGGGTTTCTCCGCCGCTCTCTCCGCGAGGCGAGTGGGCGCTCAGCCGCGGCGCGCAGACCTGGCGTCCGACCCAGCGCAGCGCGGGGAGAGCGGGTCCGGCGTGGCGGACCCAGAGCCCAAGAAAGGCGAGGAGAGGGGGGAGGGGAGGGGAGAGAAGGGAGGGGGCGGTCAGTGGCTGGGCGCCGAGCCGCCTCCACCACTGCATCACCCCAGCCCTCCCTTCCCCTCCCCTGCACCAGCCCCGCCCCGGAGCGCGCCCCCTCCCTCCGCGGGGGTCGCTTGGAGGGACCACCAGCTCCCTGGTTGGAGCGCAACCCCGCCCCGCACCCGCTTTGCTTGGAGAGAGGGGGGGCGTCCTCCCACCTAAACTCTCCCTGGCTTCTCAGTCTCCATCCTTTCCATCCCTTGAGACGGCCGCTCAACCCCCTGCTCGTCCTGTGCCCCCCCCCTCCCGGCCCTCTCCGCAGCCCCCAGGCCTCAACTCCTTACCCCGCTTTGGGCAACGAGCTGCACCACTCTTTGGCCCAGGTCCGGGCCATGGCGGTTGGGTGGGCTCCGAGGGGCCAGAGAGAAGGGCGGAGCGCTGTGCGGGCCGGGGACGAGGCCGGGTGACAGCGGCGGCGATGCCGAGAGTCTGCAGTGTGTGAGCGAGAAGTGAGCGCACAGCGCCCGGCGAGCAGGTGCCTGTGGCGCGGAGCGCACCAGCGAGCCAGCGAGCAGCGGTCGTGAGTGACGGCAGAGGCGGCGGGGGTGGGGTGGGGTGGGGAGCGCCGGGCACGACTCAGGGCCCTGGAGGGTTCTGGGCGGGGGCGGGGATCCTAACCCCTCACTAACTGGTCCCTGCGTCCCTGGACGCTCTTCACTGGCCTTTGCTCTTCTTTACCGCATGCAAAGGGGGATCCCCAGGCAGCTGGAGGCAGAGGTCCAGTCCAGAGCCCATCCCCCGCTCTTGTGCCCGCCGCATTTCCGTGCCTCCCCAAGCCCTCACCGGGACCCTGCCACCTCCTCAGTCATCTGAGGCTTGTGGTTAATTCCCCAAAGGGAAATGAGGGTGAACGTGTGATTCGGACCCAGCACAGAGTCCTTCAGGGGAGCCCATAGCTCCTCTTGGGTCTCTTCTCTTTCCCTTCCCTATGGAGTCTCCAGTCAGTGGGATTTCAGTCTCCTGTTCCTACTCCAGGACCCCAACCCTCAGCTCTGACCTAGGGTTGGGGTGGAGCCCAGTGGATTCAAGTCTGCTTTCCCTGCCTTCCAGCCTCCAAGAGGTGGAAGGGTTGCCAGAGAGCTGAGGAAGGAAACCCAGAGGGAAAACGGGTTCCCCACATCCACCTTGGTCCTGGCTGCCAGCCGCAGGCAGCCCAGAGGGGAAGAAACTGCAAATGCTTTCTAAGTGTGGTCCAGCGGCAGATGGGCACCTCTCTCCTTCCCTCTTTCCTGTGCCTGGGTTTCAGGTTCCTATTTGTGGCCAAGGGGTCCTTTTCACCTGCTGGGTCACAGCTGCTCATCTAGTTCCTGCTGAGAACAGTGGTGTGCAGGATCTTCCTCCTCTCCCTGGAGTTCCTCTCCCTGGAGTTCCTCTTCAGTGGTATCTGCCAGCTCTTTCTGTCATTCCATGCCCACTGGCCAGTTTCCCCCTGGAATTTCCACCTGCCCCTAGAAACTACAGGGCCCAGGAATGAAAGACCCTGCAGCCCCATGCTGTCCTCGGCTTCTGAAGGGAGGGGGCAGACTTGCATCATGCTACACAGATCTGGACCATCCTGGGATTCCAGGAAAGCGATTTCACCTGGGGTGATGGTGAGAGCCTAGCCCACTATGCAGTGGCCCCATGGACAGACAGCAAGCTCCTCTCCCAATACCGGATCTAGACAGACTGATGATCAGGGTTCTGTGCAAGGGGAGAATGCCTGCAGCAAAAGGCAGTTACACCTTGGTTACCTGTAATGTTTGGGGGATTTTCCATACTTGGACCACGTTGTGTGGTAAGGTGTTTCTTTCCCTTCGCATAAGTTGGTATTATTTTCAATAAGAGGTAGGGTGTATGTTATCACTGCATTCAGCAGACACTGGCTACTCCCTTTCAATGTAGTGCTCCTCAACATGGCGCCTGAGAGACCCTTCTCAAACAGAAATCAGACAACCCTTCCACTGCTCAAAACCCCACGGTGGTTCCCAGGTCACTGGGCACCTACACTGGTGGCCTGACAAGGTCAAATGACAAGTTCTCCCTAAACCTTGCTTTCTCCTCTTCTGCCTTCACCTCCTGGTGCTTTCCGTCCTTAACCTGTGGCCACACTGCCTTCCGTTCCACAATGCAACTCACTATGTGTGCTCCCACCCCAGGACCTTTGCATCAGCTGTACCATCTGGTTGGGATTCTCCTGGCCCAAATCCAAAGCCATCATGCTGTGACTTTTGTCAGGAAGTCACTTTCTTTTCTTTCTTTCTCTCTCTCCCTCTCTCCTTCCTTCCTTCCTTTCTTTGTGATGCTGGAGTTGGAACTCAGGGCCTATACCTTGAGCCACTCCACCAACCCCTTTATTTGTGATGGGCTTTTTCAAGACAGGGTTTTGTGAACTATTTGCCTGGGCTGGCTTCGAATCACCATCCTCCTGATCTCTGCCTTCTGAGTAGCTGGGATTACAGGTGTGCGCCACTGGTGCCCAGCAGGAAGTCACTTTCTTGATGAGGCTCACCTGGACCACCATATTTAATACTTCGATCTACACACCACGCCCCACCCCCCGCACCAACCTCTCACCCTGCTTTCCTTTTTCTTTTCTTTCTCTGAAAGAACCACCATACAGTCTCTCCATTCAGTGTGTTTCTTGTTTAAGTCTTCTTTGGGCACTGATACATCTCCAGTCATGCAGAACAAGGGCTGGCACACAGTAGGAGCTCAGTAGATATCTGTGGGTCATTTCACCTCTCCAACAACTCTGGAGGGTAGACACTGTGATTTCACCCCATTTGAAATCACAATTTCACCTCATTTGGTGGTTGAGATGACGCAACTCAGATTGCTTATGGAACTTCTCTGAGCTCACACAGTTAGTAAGTGGCTGAGTGAGGTGTCAGTCCAGACTGGCTTACTCTGGAGTCATAGTTTTTAAGCCAAACGCCCAGTTCTTGCCTACTTCAGGTGAGACTATACTTCCCATACTTGGAATTGGTGAGGAGAGCAAGGTTCCTTGCCCTGGCCCCACTGATGGCAGCCAGGAGCCTCTCCCTTACCTGCTCAGCTCTGCGTGCGTGTGTGTGGGTGGGTGGACAGGTCTGGTTGCTCCTCTGTCCCTCTTTGGACAGCAATTCCACCTTCCCCTCAGTCTTTCACTCCCAGCTGGGCCTGATCCAGAGTTGGGTCCCAGAAAAGAAGATAGAATCACTGCTAGGACCATCTGGGAAAGGCACTTTGCCCTCTCTTGCTGGGGTTTCCTGGTGGACAGGGCAGGGGCTTCGACTTAGCCCCATAGCCAGTTTGAGGGTCACTGAGCTGACCATGCCAGTCTTTGCCAAAACCTGCCTTGCAGGGGAGACAGCTCCTTCTCAGGTCACAACCTCTCAATTGGAGACCCTAAAGAAGTTGTCTGTGGTGGAGGGTGTGTGTGCCGACTGCCCCAAGGAGATGCTTCTCTCTGAGGACACAGCGAGGGCCCCTGGGCTCCCATTAAGAAGCCCTGTGTAGAGAGACTCCTGCTTGTGTGAAGTGAAGTGAAGTGGGTCTCCCATGGAGAGACAAGCTTCGCACAACTGTTCTTCAGCCGTGGTTGCATCAAGACAGAATGACAAATTTCTCCCCTCTCTCTGTCCCTCCTAGCACAGCTCTAAAATGGGCCACACGCTACAGGGACCTGGTGGTGAAGCCTTCTTTAATGCGACCAGTGGGGCCACCATTTACCTGCCCTGCTGGCTCTGTCCAGTGAGGTGGTGTTTGCCAGGGCCTGGCCTCCATATGTCCAGCCTCTGGGCTCCCTTGCACACACCTGCCTACTACTCCTTGCTAGCTGTTGTTGGGGCTGAGAGTTGGGGTACACCGCCCTTGTCAGTACTGTTTTGTGGATGGTTATGCTGGCTCTCAAAGGCATCTTGAATAGTGCTGTTTAAAAAGGCTGCCTGGCTGTTTGTGGAAACACCCTCATGACAGCCCTTGGCCAATTCTGTTCCTGGAACTCACTTGCCAAGTTCATTTATTTTTTTTGCTGAGGTCCTCCTAGGCTTGGGGTTTCGATATTCTCGTCTCGGCTGACCTTTCTTGTCCTCCCCCGTACCATGTACAGCCACATTGATTTTGGGTAATGTATTTTGATTTTAAGACACAGACCATCCATAAACTTTTCTATCAATAACTCTGGCACTCTGCATAGCCGACAGCTTAGAGCAAAATATCAGATTTATGGGACTTTTATTTTTGGTCAATTTAGTCATTCGTTTGCCATCAGTGTCAGGGGAGAAAGTTCTGAATCCAGCCCCCAGAGAGGCTCCCCTGCAAGGACACACATAGAGTCAGTGAAGGGCAGGGG